CTTACCCGGGCTTCATGCTCTGGAGAGGACACTCCTCGATTCAGAGCATGTTACCATAGTCTCTCGAGACTGAAGGATGCCTATGATGGTGATGGCCATTTTCTTAAGGTTTTTCTTCCTAACATTTTGCCAGTCTCTGTGGCCAGCATTTGTTCGTCAACACAGAAGGCTGAACATGGCTTAGTAGCTAATAATCAGCCAGTGTGTTTCCTTTCACAGAGATGTAATATCTGTAGTTAGGTACCTCCTGGAGCATTCTTGTTGTAGAATGCAGTGATCAGATATCAAAGATTATCTTTTGAAAAAATCTCATTTTATGGTTAAAACAAATAATGACAACCATTTTCTTTCCCCACCCCATGCCTTTTGTTTACTTTTGTTTCTCACTTACAATTGGACTTTCAAGACATAAGAAATATTGTAAAAGCTGGGGCAGGGAGATGTTCTCATGAAATCTAGCACTTACTGGGTATATCTCAGAGCCTGCTCGGAGCACATAAATAATTGGGGAATAATCAGCAGGGTTTGAGTTTAAAAAGGAGTCAAATAATGGCAACTGTTGGGGCTTGGGGTGATAGGATTAAATGTCTTTATGCTCACCTGTCAGCCGTTGCAGTACCATCCTTTCTTCACTTACTACAATGCCAGTTATACATAATAATACCCATGATGACTCAGGGATTCTGGAGCTTTTCTTCCTCCATGCCACAAGCCATGCTGGTGAGAGGATTCAGGGGCTTCCGCTTTAAAGCTGTACTTTTCAGTTTTGTGGTAGTGATGAGCAGGTGAAGGAATATGAACAGGCAATGGGGTTTTTATTGTAAGATGGCAGAAATAGCTACAGTATTCCCACATGATGGTGAAAACATAGCAGTCTTAGCTATATCAGTTTTCTCCCATCCTCACCTACCATTTGAGATGCAGTGAATTTGACCAGGGAGGGACGGAGCCCTCGGAAGACATGACTGACTGCCTGTGTCACCTTGCACAGTGGTTGTGGTAGGGAGACTGTGAAGGAAGAAAAAGACAGCCCCTCCCCCATTGTCCCAAGACAAAGGTGGGAAGGGGAGGTGAAAAGATAAGTAGCAGATGGTGATGATAGGCTACAGTGAGCAAAGCTCTTTCTCTGTCTTATGCATGTGCACATACCACCTGCCAAAGGAGGCCACATGTCTCCCACCAAATGTTTGCCAGCTATTTCATCAAATACCTGCCATCAGTGGGGCTCCTGAGAGACAAGGCACTGTGGGAGAGGTGGCTTCAAAAATCACCATATGCATGCAAGCAGTGGGAGGCTTTTTAGTCTTCCCTTCTCACTGATCTTTGACCTGAACTACTGAGAGTGTCTTGGTGTTTTTCCTTCTCCTGCTACACTGAAGGAAGCATTGGTGACAGAACACACTCTGCCTGCTACTACCAATCTGGCTGCTCTTTGAAGAGCGTGTTGCATTCATCCATCACCTGAAGTTCAGAACCTCCACACAGTTTCCAGTCTGGCTCTTGCCTGCTCTGCTGCCATTGCTCTCCGCCACATCTGTGCTCTCACAGCCACGTGTTACCTATGTGAACTCTTGCTCACACCACGTTTGAGAACCAGTACTTTACAGTACACAAGAAAGAAAGAAAAATGTTTTAGTTCAGAGGATGGAAATATTGGTTGATCATTTTTGTAAGGTCTCGTTATTTATTTGTTTTATATTTATATGCTACCTTTTTTCCCATAGGGACACAAAGCAGCTCACAACGATTAAAACTATACAATGCTTACAAATTTAAAATACTATACAGAAACTATATTAAAAACAATTAAGTATTAGACATTATTAAAATGAAGGTTAAAGACGTTTTAAGAACATTGTTTTACAAATTTAAAATCTCTGAATTCATTAAAGTTCCATCATACTTCCCAAGTGTACCGTGATCTTCAGAAGAATGGGCTGTCTTAGGTTCTTTGGAGTTATAAAGACAGGATATAAATTTAATAATTTTAAGTCTCACTACGACTGGGCTAAAACTAGGTTGCTACTATTAGCACTCCCCGTGCCTGCAAACATTTTGTTCATGCTGCCATTACAAAAGGGCCCTTACCATCAGCAGAGTTTTTGTGCCCCCTCCCCCCAATTTAGGTTTATGGAGCTCAAGTTAGTGGAACTCAGGAAAATAAAGTTATCAGTGATGCACCAGTGTCCATATTGATGTGGCTACCTCTTTTGCTGAGGCCTGAGGAAATTGCCACCACCACCACCCCTGCTGCTGCTTAAAAAGGACCAGCTGGGGCAAAATAATTAAATTTATGGCTTTACTCACCACTTGCTCTGAAGGTTCTTTCTGCTCATAGTCTGGAAGCTGTGGCTGGAACTTTGGGGTGGGTGGGTGGTAGGAAGTGCTTTCTCACTCTGGATGTATCTTACTAAGCAATTGAACTATATAGGAGTTCTGGAATTAAGTACATTTCATATGTATTCTTCCCCCACCCCCACCCTCAGCAGTGGTTATTAGAACTGCTTGAAGAATGTTAGTAGTCCAAAAACATAAATCTACACACCTCTAGTAATGCTTGAAGAATGTTAGTAGTCCAAAAACACACCTCTAGTAATTATATAATACATTTGTAGACTTCTGTTTCTGAAGGCCTAAATACAAATCTTTATCTCTTATTTTTGTTTCCAGTGTCTAAATGCCCTTGTGGTGGTAGTTACCTTGCTGGGACAATAGGCCTATTGTGGATTTAATAATAATTTATTAAACTGAATTTTAAGAAGGGCAAGAAATTGTTAATCTATAGCCAGAATAATGAATTGTATCTCATTCAGTGTTTCAATCGGTACCCATGATGGAAACTAACTTATAAAAGTATTCTTCCTCTTACATACATTTTTTTTAGCTGTTAGGATACTCTAGAATGGAGAATGAAATATTTATAAATGAGATAAGAGGAGCATGAAAAGAAATCCAAATATACCTATATGAGTTTATGTTAATCAGCACTTCTATACCTTAATTTCATGATTTATCTGGTTAAAATAATCAAAATAGTATGTTGTGTGTTAGTATTAGGCAGTCTTTGATCCTATTAAAAACACTACAAATTATAGAGCACAGCTACCAGAATTCAAGAAAGAGAAATTAATTTGTGGACTCCTGAGATTTCTTGATCTGCCTAATTGAAATGGTCATATAGGGTAGTATTTTGCAAGCTTGTCCCAAAATTATCTTAATACCATTTCTACTAATGAAAAACAGCTTCTTCCTGAAGCAGCTTTCATTCAAAAATTAATGTATAGAATAGAACTGCTGTCACCTGTCAGAACCACTGGTCGTTGATACATATTTAGTACTCTTAATAACTTTGGTATTTAAACTTGTACTTGAATAGCAAATGAAGGACAACTCAATACTGAGTTTGCTTTACAGAATAAAAGTGGGATAAAGGAAAGTGTTGGGGATTGCAGTAAGAAACCAACCAACAATAATCTTAATGAAGCCTTTGTTGGATCATTAGAATATTTGCCTTAGCAAACATAGCCAGACAGTCTTTTAAAGTCATTTTGGAGCCAATCGGTTTATAAGTGGGCATGGTACTTTAAAACAGATTAAGTACATTTTTATTGGTTAAAGCACTTAAATTCATTTCTAAGCTTCCTGGAATGCATGTACTCAACAGTAGCTCTACTTCATTTACTTAGAGTGGTGAAATTTACATCCATATTTAATCTAGGAATGAAAGAAAGTTCTTATAGGATGTTGGCACACTTTCAAAGTCTTGCAAAGAGAATGAATTTCTTGGCTTCCCATGGACATTCATTGGTCCATAATTCTACAACTAGCATTGAGTTAATTAATGCTTTTGTACAAATAAAAATTTTAATCTGTTGTGGACTGTTGCTAATTATAGATCTGTAGCAGCACATTACATATCTCAACATGTTCAGCACAGGAAGACCACTTTAGTAGCCTATCTTTCAAATGTCGAGTAAGGTCTCAATACACAAACAAAAACATTTGTTTTCTACCCAGATATTAGTAGTTGTTTCAGAGTAATAATGCACAGGAATGTATAAATGTTTTCATATTCTAGTAAGATGAATTTATCTATACATTAACATGTAGTATTCTTAGAACAACCTGAAACACAGCTGTGTATGGCTTTTGAATCTAATGGTCTACACTACTTGCTATGTGTGCTCTTTGTTCTGGATCTGACAGCCCTTGAATGACATACTACTGACGGATATTTCCAGCTTTGGGAACTAATTGTAAAAAACAGATGAGATACATATATTTGTAGGTAAAATGACAGCTCACTGAAGTACAAAGTTTTATTAAAGCCTGAAAAACTTCGACTTCCATTGTATTCAGAAAATGCTTATTTACCATTGTGCTTACTGTCAACTTTTAGGTATGGATGTGTGGGGGTCGCATGGAAGATATCCCTTGTTCCCGCGTTGGTCATATTTATAGAAAATATGTCCCTTATAAGGTTCCAACAGGAGTAAGCTTGGCAAGGGTAAGAGACTATCTTGCTATGATTCCTTTGTATTTTTACCAAATACAAAGCATACCCTTCTAGAAAAAAGTTATTGTACTGCTGTTTGAAAAGCATTTATGTGTTAGCATGACAGTCCTGCTCCTATGTGCTTTACCTGCACATATTATCCTCACAGCAATGGGCAAAAAGGTCAATTAAAGGAACCTGTCATTTTACTGCTTTCCAAATTTGATTGGCCGTCATTATTTATTTTTTTATTTTATTTTATTTTATTTTATTGGACTTCTACCCCACCCATCCAGACCAGAGGTCTACTACCATGAAGGCCTAAAAATCCTGACAAGTACATGTATAATTCATGTCACTGACAGTAATTTTTCACTTACCCATCTAGGAGGAAAAAGCTGGCAGTTTTCAAGACAATTTAGAATATGTTCACTTGAAGAACCTAATTCCCACCCCAGTAACTCAGAATTTCCCCTCTTATTGTGTAGTGAATTTTTACATTGAGAGATGTTTTATCTGAGGTATTTTGATACCCAGAGGTTTTTACCTGATATCTAAATGTACATTTTGAAACATGAATAGATGCTCCCTCTTGTGGGAAAAGACAATAATGATGGAACAATACCTGATGGCTGAAATGTTAAAACTTCATATTCATAATTGACTGCCAAAACTATATACCCAACTTTTAAATAGTTTTCCCTATTAATGACTAGGTGCTAGAGTGATTCAATGTTTGTAGGATTTACTAGTGTCCAAACTTGTTATTTGAACAATGTGCTATATACTGGGACTGTACTACAGATGCTGTACAGTGAAATATATACCAGTGTCTTTCTAGGACCTAGTAGTTAGCTCTTTGTGCTTGTTTCCACCTAAGATACTTAATGAGTCCCTCATGTCTGTCTGCAACATGTGTATCTACTGTAGACACACTCCTTAGCCACTTTCTCTATCACAAGATGTAGTACATTTTCAGTCTGTTCAAGGTTCCACATAGGTCTGTACTATGACTAAGACGGTACTCTCTTTCTCTGGAATGCAGATCTATAGGCTGACCTATTAGTCAAACAGAAAGTTTTACTTGTGAGCATCTTATATACGTGTACTAGATTTTACATGATAAATTCCAGAAGGGCAGCCCTCTTAGCTTGTTACAGCAAAGTTCTGTGAAACCTTTAAAGACTATTGTATTTATTGTGCCATTTTTGTGGGCTTGAGCACAGTTCATTACAAAAGCTTATACTACAACGTTGTTTTGTTTTTTAAAGTAGCTGAAGTCGCTTTCTGTATATAGTATTTTCTCAATAATACCTGACCTTTGTGACTAAAGATCTTATTTTAAGCTCTATAAAATTGCTTTTCTCACTCCCATGCAACAGACATAAAATAATGTAGAGTGACAATGTAATTCAGTTGCTATAGCTACAGCAGTGTTCATAAATGAGAATTTTTTGAGGCCTTATACTGTATATGTCAGGCAACTTCTTTGACTGGTGGATACTATTGTTTTTTTATGTCTTCCATTGGCACCTGTATAGAACTTAAAGCGGGTAGCTGAGGTGTGGATGGATGAATATGCAGAGTATATTTACCAGAGGAGACCAGAATATCGGCATCTGTCTGCGGGGGATGTGGCTGCTCAGAAGGAACTTCGCAATAATCTCAATTGCAAAAGCTTTAAGTGGTTTATGAATGAAGTTGCTTGGGACTTGGGAAAGTTCTACCCACCAGTGGAACCTCCAGCAGCTGCTTGGGGAGAGGTTGGTTTAATCAAGAAATAAAGCCATATTAGATGTGATCAGGAAATCCCATACAGTAATGCTGTGGTGTATGATTGCAGCTCTCTAACCATAGGGGGTCTACTAACTACTGATTCCATTCCAAAATGTAGGCAACCAATGTTCCCTCTAATTTTCAGCCCAACTGCATAGGGCTCTGCCCCTCAAACATGACTTTGCCCACACACACTTTCCCCCCCTGGCAGGTTTTCATCATGTGCACAGGCGCATGCCTTAGAATCTTGTAGGCAACCCATTGTTATGTATATGGTACCATTCCCACTTATTTTGCAGAATTGCTTACAGGAAGTGAGGGAAAGTATAGGTGCCTGAAATTTCCATTTCCATACATTCTTTGTAAGATGTGACATTTTCAGACATTTTCTCATAAAATATTTCTGTATAAAGCTTTTGTTCCGTCCATAGTCTGGGGTGCAGTTAAGGTGAGTTGGAACTAGAACTGAATGGTGTTGTCACACTTTCCATTGAATTGGCTTCTTAATGACACTGAAGCTCAGACTGATATGTACCCAAAAATTTTTAAGGCAATGAAAGCAGATTGTTGAGTATTCACTCCTTTTAAAACAGCCATCATGCATAGTGTCTTTACGTTAATGACAGCTGCTTTTATAGGATAGTGTCTTTGTTACATTAGCTGATGGTTTCTCCAGAACTAAATTTTACAGCTAATCTGTGACTTATTTTGCAGATCCGTAATGTAGGGACTGGTCTTTGTGTAGATACTAAACATGGAGCCCTGGGTTCGCCATTAAGGGTTGAATCGTGTGTAAAAGGGAGGGGAGAAGCAGCCTGGAACAATGTTCAGGTATGTCTTGGTTCTTTCTTTCTTTGAATTAATTTTCAAGAGTTTCCATACGTAGTTTTAGAAACAGATGTTTTATATAAAGTTGTCATTATTAAAATACTGTAAGGATTCTAGTTCTATATTACTGACCAAAGTTTTTGCTAAGGCTCTCTGCTTCTGTAGTTTATTTGTTTTATTTATGCAGTTTATAGTTCTTTCCACTTGTAATCCACCATAAGAGGAGGACTCTTTGATTAGGGGTGCCAAAGAATCATTGTAAGAGTTATCAGTAACATTTACCTGGTTCCTTCCATGCAGTGAGCAAGCTGCAGTTAACTGGCTTTAATTCTGTGAGTAGGTGGGTGAAGAGATACTCTGAGCTATGGGGCAGAAACTTCTTTGCCATTTCTAGATAAAGAGTAATTCCAATTGAGATGTGACTGAGAGGCAAAGAGTTAGGCAAACAGCCACTCTTGCTTTCCATGTGTAGCCCTTCCGTTGAAAAGGAAGAGTGAAGAAATATCAACCATAGTACATGGATAATCTTTGATAGAGAATAGTAGTTAATTCTGAGTTTTAGAAACTTTTTCCCCATCTTTGGGAAGGGAAGGGGAGAGTTAAGCATATGCCAGATAAGTTAGTGGGTACCCACATGTTCTTGGACTAAAACTTCCAGAAGCCTTCACCACTAGGTATGATGGCCAGGGATTTCTAGGAGTCGTAGTCTGAGAACATTTGTGCACCCAATGTTGGGAATCCCTGATCTAGATGAAGGATATAAGAAAATGCTAAGCTTAAGATTCAGCTCAAGTATTAAACTTACTAATGCACTTTGTAATAGCTGATTTAAATTATAAAAATTTGGCTGTGGCTACATAGCCAAATAGTGCAAGAATCGGTGGAAGTGTAAAATAGAGAAATTTGCTCTTTTTTGACTAATCACATGACACAAAGGCCAATTTGAATCACTCTGGACCGTTTTGCTCAAATGCAGTTTTTTTTCTCTGCCGCTGGGTGCTTCTACTTTTTTCAAGCTGAAACAATTCAAGTTCACTTTTCCCCATGTGATCTGTGTTCTCCAAATGGATGGGGATGGGATGATGACTATGAGGAGTATACTGGTGACATACTAAGCTGGGCATGATGTTTTGGACAGCAGGAACAGCATCCCCACAATATTTCTGCTTAGTTACCCTGTAGTGTTTTTCAATTTCTTTAAAACAAACTATGAAGTTTGATGCTATATTACCTTATCACTATATTGTATCCTGGTTTAATGCTAGATCACCTGTGTACCAAAAGATAAAAATGAGTATGAAATAGAAACAACTCAGACGAAATACAGCAGACTATTGTGTTTCTGCATTATGTCTTTATGCATTTGTATGTTATAGAGAACTTTACAAAACTGACCAGCACTTGAAACAACTCACTGGCTTTACAATAAACCATAAAAGGAGATGGACAAGAGGGCAAGATCAAAGGAAGAAGCTGTGGGCTGTGGTGTGGATCAAACCACATCAGACTGAGGGACCAGTGTGTACACTGTCACCAAAACAATTTGCAGTTTCTTGGTGATCATCTAATTCAAACAAAAGCATAAAAAAGGGTGCTAATCAAGTTGCAGCAGAGCCAAATGACTTTGATTCAGTTTGCCAGTGTAGTCAAAGCCTCTGTAATTTCATATCTATGCATTTATATTTTGGGAAAGCACAGTTTGGATTCTACATGTGCACTAGTGCATTTTGATTATGAGCGCTCTGTTTACATATATTGTTCAGACAAGTGCATATTTCCTTACTGTTAGTGTTTTAGTTTAATGCTAAGGAGCCTTATGTAGAATTGCAGAATTTGTAACTTGTAGAACAATATATATTGGTAATTATGAAATGGCAACAAGAGGTGCAAGAAAAATCAAATAGCCATTATGGAAGTATCCCAGCCCATGCTACATGATTTGAGACAAATGGTGTTAAATTAATGTAAATGATCTGAGGATTATTTTAATTCATGTGATAACAATTTTAAAGCATTTGAAACAAGACTGAAGAGTAAAATTGAGTGTTAAGAAAGAAACTGGTGATAAATAAGAGCATTTGGAAAAGAAGTTTCAGAGCTTTGAAGTAAGGATTGAATAGCTGGTTAGCAAAATACAGCAGTTCTTAATAGTAAAATGAAATTGCTTGTAGAAGAGCGACAAAGTAAAATGTTTGTTTTTAGGATACAATAGGTACAAACAAGGGGCAGCCATTCTTGAACACACTAGTCAAAGGAACAGAATCCAAATTAGAGAACTGATGAGAAAGGTGAAAGAAACAATGTAGTGCAAGGGTGGACAATCTCAGTAGGATTGAGGGATGCAGATTGGCTAGCAGCTTTTTTAATTTTTATTTTATTTATTCGATTTATATCCCGCCCCTCTGGTATATTCTACCACTCTAGGTGGCTTCCAATATGACATAAATACCTTAAAATAGCACAAAACATTGAGGACCAAAGAGTGAAGCTAAAGAGTCAGGGGAAAGAGGCAAACTTACCCACATTTATTATTTTTGAAGAGGATTTAATGTAGCAGCTGGGTGTTGTAAATGATGCTTTAGTAATTTTTGTTAAGTGAAGGTGTTTATTAATTGGAAAAGTACCCTTATGCCCTCTGGTGGCCAATTAAAAGTTTTTAAAGTAGTCACCAGAGGGGGATTTTGTGGGCATAGAAATGCTGGCAGATCCTCAAAACATGTAAAAATGGTCTTCATGACCCCATAGAGCTCAAGAGGGCTTTCTGTAAAAGTTCGTTTTTAAAAAATTTAAATTTGGACTTAGTTGGTATCAAAGCACAGAGGGCTGCAAAAATGGCCCCAGAGGCTTTATGCAGCTAAAGCAGGGGTCCCCAACCCCCGGTCTGCAACCTGGCAGTGGTCTCTGGCCTAGGCAGGACTGGGCCACAGACACAGATCTCCTGCCCCCTGTGAGCACTTCCCCTGTGAGCACACCATGCTCCCTGTGAGCACAACATGCCCCCATGCGCATGTGAGTGTGATACTCCCCACGCAAGTGCGACACACATACCCCATGCAAGTGCAACACTCCCCCCCAACCAGTCTCTGGTTGGGAAAAGGTTGGGGACCACTGACTAAAGGATTCCATATTGTCCACCCCTGTGGTAGTAAACTGTGTACTAGTGTAACATTTTAAGCTGTTAGTAACTTCAGTAGTAAGAACGGACTCAAATGATAAGCAGACAGACATTGCACTTAAAGTAAATTCCAAAATGGTCCATTGGAGAAACCTAAATAGGGGTATTCTAAAGAAATATTCCAGTATTTTTCCAGAGTAAGACTTCAGAAGATAGTTCTTTGGAGCAAAAGAAGATCAGATTGATATAAAAATAGATGGTAGGAATGTATAGCTTTGGCTGTGTTGTGCACATATTATGTAAAGGGAAATAAATTATGGTTTTGACAGATAAGTTGACTGAAGAGACAATAACATGTAAGTGATTTATCCTTTAAATGTGTTTCTGTTTCAAGCAGCAACAGAGATATATTAAAACAAAAGAAGAGGCATTGGCTTTTTTAAATGAATGGCATAAGAAGGACATTGAAGTTATGCTTCTAAATGATGATAGGCAGATAGATCAGGTAAGAGAGAAATAGATAAGAGATTCTTTGCAAGATACTGTCTAGGATCCTATTGGTTAGATATGCTGGTGTTAAGTGCAGTGGCATAATTTGCAGCAGAGGCTTAAAAGTCACTGCTTGTATTCCTTGTTGCATGGCAACCATGTGAGTTGACTGGTCATGAAGAACACAAGAAAACTTTTTGAACAGCTTACTCCATTAATTTTACAGTAGCATAACTAACCAACAGCATTCTGTCCACAGTGTGGAAAGTTATAAAAAAGTTAATTGGACAGCAGAGGTGAGTGAATGTTTAAGTCAATGGTGGTGATTGTGGGTGTGGGGCCAAAACTCCTGCCTCTACACCTCACCAAAGGCTACACCAAGACCCTGGAAATGACTGAACAGTGCCAGTTTATTTTCTTTTTTAAAACGGAAGTGCCTAGATATTATTTTATATTTTTTGCAAAAAAGAAAGAAGGGGTTGCTTGTCTAGTTTTGTCGTGGCCTTGGGGCCTACAGAAATGGAGACACATGCAGCCTCCTAGTTTCATGTTGCCCATCACTGGTTTAAGAAGTAAGCTGTAGGAAGGGCTCTCAAAAAAGAGTCACTAGCATTTTATTATGAGATTACAAATAACAACTAGATGGAAGAAATTAAGACTGGAAGTTTAAAATGAAAGAACATTGTTCTGTAGTAGAAAGGAGAAATGTAACTCCTTTCTAGAGCTTACTAATATAATACACAAGTGAATAGTCACTCAATTTTTTAGAAAAAGAAAAAGCTGAAATTAGTGTACAAGAAACATATCAAGGAACAACATAAAAATATTTGGAGACTTCTAAGTATAGGTCAGATCCATGCTTCATATCAAGAGCTAAATCAAAATGAGTTGCTATAGCAATAAAGACATCCAGTCATTTTCATCCTAATGAGAGTGGAAATTATAAAAAACAGTACTTTATAATGATTGAAAGAAGACTTGGAACTCTTGATCTGATACTAGTGTTTTTGTTGCTTAGTCGTTAAGTCATGTCCGACTCTTTGTGACCCCATGGACCAGAGCACGCCAGGCCCTCCTGTCTTCCACTGCCTCCCACAGTTTGGTCAAATTCATGTTGATAGTACATATTAGTACATAGTACTGATACCAGTACATATTAGTATGTTCCCCAAACCAATCAAATAATATGTGTTATACTTATTACTTGAATTGGTGATATCAGTTTTATCTGTTTCTTTCTACATTATGTTAAAGAAAAGAAATTATTTTTCTGACAGGTTAATTTAAGAGAAAATAAAGTACAGGTGATCTGCCCCTTTAAAACTTACTTTCCATTTCAAGCAGCAATGGAGACATATTAAGTCAAAAGAAGAAGCATTGGATTTTTTAAGTGAATTGGATAAGGAGAATATCAAAGCCATACTTTTGAATGATGACACACAGATAGCTCAGGTAAGGGGAGAAGAGGTAAGGCAGCTTTTACAAGATAGTGGCCACAGTCTTATTGGGGATTTATATTGTGATAAGTATAATTGCATAAATTGCCATGGTGAATTGTACTGATTAATAAGTTGCCCTCACATCTGTAGTCATGAGCCAACTGACAAACAGCCAGGAATGCAAGCAACATCTCATTAATTTTTAGCAATTCACCACCACATTTTATGCAATTGAACTTAGACTGCCTTAATTACATCTCCAATAGGATTCTGGTCGTAGTGTTGAAATATGTAGCAGACAAATTTGGTAAAATGGAGTTAAGTGAGTATTCAAGCAGTCAGAGAGAGTCACTAATATTTTACTGTAGGGTTAAAACTAACACCAACAAGAAGGAAAAATTAAGATGGTAAGCTTAATGTGTTTCAGTGTACAGGACTTGATTTTATTTCTGTAATACGGAGGAAAAAGCTAGCTTAGCTTTAAAGGGAGAAAAAGCTGAAAATATTTGCATACAGGAACTAAATACCAAGGAACAGCATAAAGTATATTTATAGAGAATTAAATAGATTGGATCTGTGCTTCACATCAAGGTTAAATCAAAATGAATTGCTATAACAGTTAAATCACCCAGTAGTTTTTATTCAAATTGATGCTGAAATAGTAAAAAATAGTGTTTTATAATGGTTAAAGAGAAATATAGAACTCTTGATCTGACATTAGTGAATATGCATGTGCCCCATACCAGTCAGGTAGTGTTTTTGATTCATTAAAGATATTTATTATTTTCCTGAAGGAAGAAATGTAATGTGAGAAGATTTCAGTAGTGTTACAGTAGTGTTAGGAAACAGATAGCACAAAATCACAAAGGCAATTCCCAAACAGACCTTAATCAGTTCTGAGCTACAGTATATCACAGAAGTGAGTACACCCCTTCACATTCCATAAATATTTTAGTATATCTTTTCATGTGACAACACTGAAGAAATGACACTTGATTACAATGTAAAGCAGTGAGTATACAGCTTGTATGACAGTGTTAAATGTGCTGTGACAATGTCCAAATTGGGCCCAAGTAGCCGTTTTCCCTCCCTGGTGTCATGAGACCCGTTAGTGACACAAGTCTCAGGTATGAAGGGGGAGCAGGTGTTATCGCTCTCACTCTCTCAGACTGGTCACTGGAAGTTCCATATGGCACGTCATGGTAATGAACTATCTGAGGATCTGAAAAACAAATTGTTGCTCTACATAAAGATGGTCTAGGCCAGTGGTTCTTAACCTTGGGTTACTCAGGTGTTTTTGAACTGCAACTCCCAGAAACCCCAGCCAGCCCAGCTGGTGGCGAAGGCTTCTGGGAGTTGCAGTCCAAAAACATCTGAGTAACCCAAGGTTAAATAGCAGGGACTAAAAAACACACTACAAGACTAAAAAACACACCGCACAGAAACAGAGACAGGATCTGCTCGGCTTTTGCCATGTTTCTGTTTCTCCTCCTCCGCGGCGATGGAGGCACCAGGCATGGTCAGAGAGCGAGAGAAAGGAGCTTTAAATGGACAAATCCTATCCAAATGCCCCTGCGCGCGTGCACACACACAGACACACCACCAATGGGTATAGTCCACCTCCTTTCTTTACACCAAGTCTCAGCAAAAGCACAAACCAAGAGGGAGAAAACACTGGTGAGAAGGTTGGAAGAAGAGGAGAAGATGGCGGCTCGCATCCGCCACTCTCGCAAGGAGGTGGGGAGGAGGATGCAGCAATGAAGCCGTGGGTGGAGGGGAATAGATGGAGGCAGACAAGGAGAAGGCAAGATGGGCACTGGGCGGGCGTCAAGTAGGCGAAAGGAAACATACCCCCCACCCAGCCCAAACCCACCCAGAACAGGGAGTTTTTAAAATGTTAAAAAGCAAAAAGTACTGTACCAGGCAGCACGAGGCCTCTTTCAGAATGCACTCTCTAACCGCTGGGACAAAGGAACTATAGTGCAGAGAAGCAGCCTCTTTGCTGACCAACAGTTAGCAGTTTCTCAGCCTTTTTTTCCTGTCACAAGTCAAAACAAAATTTTTTGACTGGAGGTGGTCGCAACTTGAATTGATTGCAAGTCAAGGTGGTCACGTCGAGCCACCACTGTACATGTAGGACTAATTCTTCAAAAATGGACATGGCAATTTAAATTTCTTAGCCATTGTTTGATTTCCCCCTAGAAATTAAAAGATTCACAGCAACCCTAAGATCTGTAACAATAAGCAGAAATTTCTAATTATTTAGCCTTCTGTATTCTCTCCTCCCTCTCAGTGCTTTGTTTCCTCTGAGCAACAGCTACCTGAGTCTCCACCTAATCTCCCAGAAGTCTGTAGAATAGTGGTTCCCAACCTTGGGTAATCCAGGTTCTTCTTCATAGCCTCTGTGAATGCACATATATGGGTGTTGTCTGTGCCTGCCCTGATGTTCTCGGAAGATTCTAGAGCTGAAAGTAACAATTTAGTGGTGTGATTCCCCCATGAGGCATATGTTCCACCCACCTTCCCTTCCCCTCAGTTCCTCTTTTCCGCCGAGCTGTTCAGTTCTCTTAGGAAGATTTGAGCACTTCTATTTTTATTCTGCTAAGTTTTTCTAGTTTTTAGCTGAACTTCTTTTAGCTTTAGCTAACCAAACCAACAGTCCTTTTAAGGACAAATTTTCTCTCTACTATTCTTTCTCGTAGCGGGAAATTCCCCTTTCTCTCTCTCCCCCTTCCATTCCCCCCCCCCCGTTCTTTCTTATGGCCTATCAGTTTCCTTTCAAACACTGTACTTCGTGCCCTAACAAAATTTATCTGACGCTCACAATCAGTGTCTCCTCTGCTTGGGCGAATCTCACCCCACACAT